CTCGGCACCCCAGGAGTCGGCCTCGTCCCGGCCGGGGGACATTCCCGAGAGGCTAGGCGGGCTGCGCTGCAGCGGAGCGCCCCCAGGACCCCCGCCTCCCCCATCTCTCGTCCCACTTCTCCACAGGGTCCGGGGGCCCCAGCTGCTCTGCTGATGGGACCGTGCATGGGGACTGGAAAAAGGGGACACTCGGAGGCTGCTTGGAGCAGGGGATCGTTTGGGGGAGGGGGCGGGTTGGCTGGGGGAGGGGAGGGAGCCAGGGCTGGCAGCCAGGCCGGGGGTTTTGTGTGTGAGAAGAATAGGGGTTTAGCCCGCGTTGGCACACTCGCTTCCCTGCATGCTAATGGGGTTCCTGGCTCTCCTCTCCCGGCCGGCAGCCTCTCCTCTGACCAGCACAGCAACGAGTGGGCACAAGGAGCAGGCTCCGTGGGGGCCTCCAGGGCCACCCTCTGGCAGGGGCGCCTGGCAGTCCAGCTCGTGGGGTCGTCACGGGATGGTTCATGTGTGATCTTGACACACAAGACTGTGTGTCCCTGAGTTTTTCCCGGCTACTTCCAGTCTTCTTTGACTTCTCCCCACCCTGGGGGTCTTTTCTGAGCTCTTCATTCTGCCTAGGACTCCTTTGGGGTCCCTTGACACCTTGGGCACCTCTGTCTTGTTTCCTGCTGTGTACCCGGTTACAAAAGCCAGCTTCTTGTCTTCTACTGAGCTGCAGGCTCCTTGAGGGAGGGCATCCCTAACAATGGTATGCTATGGCCCTGCTGTTTGTGACAGCGCAGGACTATCTATGGCTGTGGTCACCATTGGAATTTGGATGTGTGGTCAAAATTCCGTGCCCTTGAAGGTTCCTATGTGCCTGTGCATGTGGGAGGGGCTTCTTGGTAGGACCATGAGAATGACTCGTATAGTGTGGGTGAAAAGCACCTGTTTCCGTGGGGGTGTAGTGGCCAAACTGTTGGTGATCACAGCCCGCGGCTGTTGGTGTGGCTTTGACCTGTGTCCCTGTGGGAGAGTGGCCGGTAGACAAGCTCTAGAAAGAGGTTCCTCTGCCCTAGGAGGAGAGGAGCTGAGGGTGAAGACTCAGATAAAACACCCTACACACACACACACACACACACACACACACACACACACTCACGTGTGCACAATGCACAGTGGGAACCAAGCCCATCCTGCAAGCCTTGAAGCGCTCGGCCCCCTCCCAATTCCCCCTCCGGTGTGCACACACTTTATGAAGCCCCAGCCCTCGGACTAAAACGCTTTGCTTTGGTTGGCTGGCAGAGATTTCACCAGTTGTGCAGTATCTGAAGTTGTACAGCTGACGATGAAGTGTCTCCCACCCCCACCCTCCCCGCCAGCTGCAGCCAGGAGACGCCCGGTGCTGGAAGCTGGGCTGCCCCTCCTGCTCCCCTGGAAACTGTTGCTGGGGTTGGAACCTGCTGGGCCCAGGCCCCTCCCAACTCCCAGCACCTCTGCCCAGTTCTGCTTTCCCTGGACTGGGCTCCCCGTTTGCCTTCTAAATCTAAGGGTATCTGGGCTCCTCTCCTGTCCTTTGAGATCTCCTGAGCACAGGAAGCTGCTTGTGGCAGGGGTGGGAAGGAACTCGAGAGCCAGGTGTCAACTCCGTAAGCCCTGTCATTCTCAGCTGAGCCTTCTGTGGCTCTGAGGGGCTTGCACAGCGGGGACCCACAAGGGACAGCCCCGTCTCAGTCCTCTCTGCTGCCCAACAAGACTCTCCTTGCCTATCCTGGGCCCTCACTTGGAGACCAACGATCCTGCTGGTGTGAATCCCCTTGGTCCCACGTCCTGGTGATGTCTCCCTCACCCTGCCCCAGCCTAAGCCTCTCCCCACCTCAGGGAGTGCCCAGCCTCACTCTGCTGACTTGCTTTTTTCTGTGCCCTCAGGGCCTGAGGGTACCTGGAGGGTGGAGGTGGTTGGGCTCATCCCCTTGGAGCCCCCAGCCCCAGCTCAGCCAGGGGACCATGCCCGGGCTGGTTGTTGAGGCCCCATGTGGAGTTAGAGCCCTGGGAGACTGAAGCCTGACTCACAGCCGAAAGGCCACAGCTGGCAGGCTGCCTGTCCCTTGGGTATCGCTGACCTGGACAGGGATCATGTGGTCATGTGGAGCTGTCCCAAGGCAGGGTCTTGGTGAGGAGATGAGTTCACCCAGCCGGTTTTTTCTGCCCCTTCTAACCTTCCCTCTTCCTTTCCCTCCTCCTCCGTCCACATTTCCTCTCCCAGGGGAGTATGCTGAGGGGGTTAGTGAGCGAGATATCCTGCTTATCCACTCCTGCCGCCAGTGGACAACGGTGACTGCCCACACACTGGAGGAGGGCCACTATGTCATTGGGCCCAAGATCGACATCCCCTTGCAGTATCCAGGTATGCCCGGCCACGGACAGGTGGCATAAAGCCCACGGGGGTGGAGGCTGGAAGGGCTGAGCCAAGTGTGGAGGGGGACATTTAGCGGAAGCTGTTGGTGACCACCTTGCCATGGCTGGTGGGGGTGACTAGCGTTAGATTTAGGGACCAGGCATTTCTGTACGTTTCTATGGAGCCTGGGTTTCTGGGGGGTGGCTCTCAGGCTTATAAGCCTTTGAGTCACATTTTATTTTAAAACAGACTTCCAAGTAATGGTGAAAGTGACTTTTACACTCAACTACAAATCAAATCAAGCCCCAGTTGAAAACCTCTAATGTGTACCCTTTGTTGTGCAAAGAGAGTGTCTCCTTCCAGATTCTTCTCAGGGTTATGTAGTCAAACTTCAGAAAAGAAAAAGGACTGGGGCTGTTGGGTGTTGTTCAGGGGTAGAGCACATGCCTAGCATGTGGGTTCCGTCTCCAGCACCCTCTCCCCGAAGAAAGGAAGAACTTCAGAAACCAGGGGATCTCAGGCTGATTTATGGCTGCCCCTTTGACCTCTGATTCTTCTCCTTCAAGTTTTTATTGATTGCGTTTATAAGTAAATGTTAATGTTTTAGACTTTAAAAGATTATTCCAATGAACTTCTATGTGTTTTATATATGATATTTATATAAAAGATTTTGTTTCAAGAATATATCCTGCATACCTAAGGCCTAAAGAGAGCAGCAAACTGCCCAGGATCACACAGGGAGTAAGGGCAGGACAAAGGCCAGAATTCAGGTGTTCCAACTGCTGGGCTGGTGAGTCTGCCCCATGCCAGGAGTTGAAAGCTGTTGTCTCTTGCAGGGGAGGAGTAGCAGTCTGGTGTTACTGCCTTCTAGGTACTGGGCTGGGCAGTGTTGCCTCATCCTCACAGCTACCCTGAGCCCGAGTCTTACACCTTCGCTTTAACTCAGAGTGATGCTCCAGGACGTTTGGAAGCTAGCTAGGTTCTGTGTTTTGGTTTTTGAGACAGGATCCCATTATGGTCCAGGTTGGCCTTGAACTTGCTATGTGGCCCAGTCTGGCCTGGGACTTGTGATCTTCCTGCCTCAGCTTCCCAGAGTATTAGGATTACAGATGTGTGTCACCATGCCTGGCAGTTCTGTGGTATTCACTGCTGTGTGACACTCCCACCCCTGCCCCAACAAGGCTGGGAACACTTCCCTCCTAGATGCCACTGCCTTCTGCCTGGGACTTGCCTGAGTCAGCAGGACCAAGGTTTCTTCAGGCTTTGGCTCCTTAGTCCTACAAGTGGATGCCTCCAAGCCCCCACCCCATAGCTGAGGTCTTTCCTGACCTGGACCTGCAGCCTTTTGGTGGCCTGCTCAACCTAGAAATGTCCCAACCTGGAATCTGGCATGGGTTCAGGGTCAAATTCCAGGTCTTCTTGGGAGTAAAAAAAAAAAAAAAAAAAGCAAAACTTGAGAAAAGAAGAAATGTGACTTTGGTTGTGTCATTCAAACTCTAGGGAAGTAAGGCACAAAGTCCCAGAGAGAACTGTGAAATCAGTGCCTGTTCTCTATGTCTTTAGGTGGCCCTGTGTGCCTGTGTACCATGGGGCAGCGGGCGACAGCTGGCCTGCAGAGCGCAGTCTTGCTGTGACCAGCATGGGGGAGGGGAGGGCAGCGGAATGGTTCTCTGGGAGGCCCTGCGTGCAGTCTCCAGCCCAGCGCTCCGATGAATTAATAATGGCCCTGGCCTGGTGGGGGAGAGGAAATGGGTGGGGCTGGGGGCGCTGTTGGGTGACCTGGGTCTCCAGGCTACAGCCCGGCCCGTTGCTGCGGGAGCCAGGGAGACCTGGCCCATCTAGGACAGTCCCTGATGGGGCTGCAGAAGGGGCTGGGAGCTAGGCGTCTTCCCCAGGCTGGGTGCCAGTTCCAGAGCATTGGTCTAGTGCTCTGCAGACTTGGTAGGTGCTCCCCGGGAGCTGCATAGTGTGCTTGCATTTTACAGATGAAAAGCTGCACCTCAGAGAGATTAATTTGCCTGAGATCACAGACCAGGCTGGTGGCAGGGCTGGAATTCACTCAGGTCTGTCTGACTCTAAAGGCCGTGCTGGCTGAGTGTGTTGGTGCACACCTCTAATCCCAGCACTCCAGGAGGGTCACGAGTAGAGCCCAAATGTGGGCAATGTGATTTACTGAGACCCTGTGTCAAAAAAACCCAGGTAGGTAGTGTTGCAGGGGATGTAGCTCAATGTGAAGGCCTTGGGTTCGTTCTCCAGTATCAACAAAATAAATAAGTAAAGCTTACGGTTTTTTTGGGAGAGTGTTCTGGTGGTCAGGATGGGGAAGGGCAGGGAACGGCAGGGTGGCGCAGTCTCTAGAATGATTTCGGACATGGAGGAAGGCAGGGGAGGAAGCTACAGAGGGGAGGAGAAGGCTTCCAGTGACCAGAGCATGGCTCCCCGGAGGTCTCCTTTCCTTCCTCCGGTCTGTAATGACCGGCACTGGGCAGCCAGGGGCGGTGCTGGGTGCCATGGTTACATCGATCTCCCCTGCCACATCCTCCGCAGGCTCCCGCCCTGCGTTGGCTCACATCTCCCAATAGGGGGCAGCACCGGTTCTCTCTGTATGGCTGCTCGAGGTTTTGCGGGGAGGGGGGGGACATGTGTGGATATGGAGAAAGGACTGCTCAGGGTTTAGGTGTGGGCAGACCTCCTGCCTTCTGACACCCCCATTGTTCCCTGAAAAACTCGGGGAAAGTCCCACCTGGCTGTGGCACAGGAAGCGTTGTGTGTCCAGGTAGAGGACCAGGGTGGGCTTTTTCCAGTCCCCTCACTCCCCGGCCCGTTCTTGGTGCTCATTCTCTGCACCGTGGGTGTTTCCCACCTCTGCTCTTCACATCCGTCCCCAGCTGGGCTTTGGGGGCTCCAGGAGCAACCCTCTCTGCACTGTGTACAAAATAGCTGTGTGTGTGTGTGTGTGTGTGTGTGTGTGTGTGTGCGCGCGCGCGCACATGCTAGGAGCATATTGCGGGGGTTTTCCTATGATGAGTGCCGCAAGGTTTAAATCCCTCAGTTCTTTCTCTACGCTGCTCCAAGCTTCCATACCCCGATGTAGTTCTGACCAGGGGTCCCTCAGCGCTTGGCCCACACTGGTGGCACTGCCTGCAGAGCACCACCTTTGCCCTCGGGTCCCTCCCTTGGCCTCCCAGGGCCCGTCCTGTGCCAGCTCTCTACTTCCGTTCTGAGCAGGGAGCCGACTCCATGCCCTCATTCCCTCCCTTGGCCGCCTGCCCTCTGCAGTGGCCCCCCAAACCCTGAGTCTGAGGACCCTCCCTACCTTGTGGTCTGTTCATTCTTTGCTGTCCCTTGACTCTTCTGTAGAGCTTGGTACTGGATTGTGTACTCGACTGCTCTCCCAGGTATCTTAAGAGAATTCAGCCTGGGTCATGGTATTTTCTTGCTTCAACTGGTCCAGTGGATCTTACAAAATAAAGCCCTGCTGCCTTCCGGCAGCACTTAGGCCCTTCCCAGGCCTGGTTGCTGTCTACTCCCACTCCTTCCCCCCCTCTAGTCATGCATGACTTCGGGCAGGTGATTGGCTTTTGTGTCTGTGTCACTGCTTAGGTCATTTCTGCTGTGAGGACTGCCCATCTCTAAAGGCCTTTTCCTACTTAAGGTGCAGCTGAGGGATCCCTCTCAGTCTTCTGGGCAGGTGTCTCCTGGCCCTGCAATCCTGCAGTCCTCCAAGTCTTTTGCTGTGAATCTTAGCACCTGTCACATCCTGCCACCTTTGGGTACTCACTGCTGTTTTTTAGAGTGCCCTCTGAAGGGCCTGGCATTCTGACTGACATATAGCCAGTGGGTACAGCATAAATTTGGGAGGAACAAATGAAGGAGTGAACTGAGACTGAAGCAAGAACCAGGGGACTATAGAAGCAGAAGAGCCAATGTGTTCTCCATCTGTTGTTCCCTCACCTACTGAAGGCCGTTCCTACCATAGACAACCTGGGAAGAGGCCATCCACCCCAGGCCATGGTGGCTCACGGCCTGTCTTTGTGCTCATGTGGGTGGGCACAGAAAAGGTGTGTATCAGCGGGGTGAGACAGTCTATACAGGTGTCACCTTCATGGATTAGCATTGCTTCTTGAGTTTGTCTGCTGGGGCATCGGCTAAGTCAGCCAGAACACAGCCTACGCTGCAGTTAGGAGGGCACCTTCCAGGCCATGGGGAATGCAGTTTCAGCTCAATGGCACAGTGGGAGTGAGTGCTGGACCAGGGCAGGATCTGGTCCAGAGCTAAGGTCAGAGTGGTCTCCAGGGTCTGGGGCTGGGCCCTGGTTTGCCCACTGTGCGGATCAGCAACCCACGGTACATGTGCAGGGGACTGCAGCCAGGCAGGGCACGGGTCATCTGTTTCAGCATCCTCAGAGGAAGAGCCAGCAGCCCAGAGAAGGGAAGGGGCTTGTCTAGGGTCACAGAGAGTCCGAGGGCAGGCTGGGACCAAGCTCGGGGCCGATGAGATTCCACGTGATGCCACGGATGCTTGAACAGAGGCCTGTGGTGTGTCCCAGTGCTGGGGGCTGGTCTCCAGCCGGGTCCTTTGGCAGGCAGCTGTGGCCTTGTCGCACACGCACAAGCTCTCTGCTGGGCTCCAGTTGCTCCTCTCTCCCTGTGGCTCGAGCCAGATGGCCAGCTCCCTGCTCACCTACCCCCTACAATGCACACCTACCCTTCTACAAACCTGGGTTCCAGAAGGACTGGCTGAGATGAGGGTACCAAGAAGCAGGGGCGACTGGGGCTCTTCAATGCAGCCAGGCCTGACCCAGCAGCCCGAGTCCCCCTGTGCAGGGAAGTTCAAGCTCCTGGAGCAGGCCCGGGACGTACGGGAGCCGGTGAGGTACTTCAGTAGCGTGGAGGAGGTGGCCAGCGTCTTCCCTGACCGCATCTTTGTGATGGAAGCCATCACCTTCAGCGTCAAGGTCAGTCCTTGTGGCACCAAGTGTGGTGTCCCCATGACCCCATCTCTCAGGGGCTGCAGGGTTACCTTTAGGGTCAAGAGAGAGAGCTTTGGGAACAATTTGGCCATGTCAGAAGAACAGGGTGGGACCCACGGGGCAGGGGTGGTGTGTGAAGGGGCAGCCCTGACTTGGATTGGAGACCTTTCAGGGTGGCCTGTCCTAGCACGACAGTTGGCCAGGTGTCCACGGGTGTGGGTGTGAGGTGGCTGTGGTGAGCCCCCGCTGTGCACAGATAGCTCTGTTCTGCGTACAAACCCTTAGCCATTGTTTCAGTTCTCTTCACAGTAGCCTTCATGGATGAGGGGAGCATTATTACCAGCCAGTTAGTAACGATGGTGTAATAAAACTGCCATTTACTGAATGCTCTCAAAGTCCCCCCCTGTACTCAGAGTCTAATCCCATAGCAACTCTTCTTAGAGTTGTCACAGGAGGTAACTAAGGGTCTCACAGGCAGCCAGTAAGTTTGCACAGCGACACCATGGCCTCCCCAGGGGGGGACGCGAGTCTCCTGGCCCGGCCCGGCCCGGCCCTCAGTCCAGTGCTCTCCACCTGGGCTGGCCCCGCCGGGGTGGCCTGTGGCTTTCCTTGGGACCTTGGCTAAGGTTTCGCGGTGCATGGGATCCCCAGGTGGTGTCGGGTGAGTTCAGCGAGGACAGCGAGGTGTACAACTTCACGCTGCACGCGGGCGACGAGCTCACACTCATGGGCCAGGCGGAGATACTGTGCGCCAAGACCACCAAGGAGCGCTCGCGCTTCACCACGCTGCTGCGCAAGCTGGGCCGCGCCGGGGCGCTGGCCGGAGTGGGCGGCGGCGGCCCGGGAAGCGCGGGGACTACGGGTAGCGGAGGGGGCGCCAGGCCAGTCAAAGGCAAGATGCCCTGCCTCATCTGCATGAACCACCGCACCAATGAGAGCCTGAGCCTGCCCTTCCAGTGCCAGGGCCGCTTCAGCACGCGCAGCCCTCTGGAGTTGCAGATGCAGGAGGGCGAGCACACGGTGCGCGCCATCATCGAGCGCGTGCGACTTCCAGTGAACGTGCTGGTGCCCAGCCGGCCGCCGCGCAACCCCTACGACCTGCACCCGGTGCGGGAGGGCCACTGCTACAAGCTGGTCAGCATCATCTCCAAGACCGTGGTGCTGGGGCTGGCGCTCCGCCGCGAGGGCCCGGCGCCGCTGCACTTCCTGCTGCTCACGGACGCGCCGCGCTTCGCGCTGCCGCAGGGACTGCTGGCCGGGGACCCGCGCGTCGAGCGCCTGGTGCGCGACAGCGCCTCCTACTGCCGCGAGCGCTTCGACCC